TCTAGCAAGATGGTTGGAAAAGTACGTATTGTAGGGTGCACGTATGTTGGCAGTCTCTCTCTCTTGTGTATGTGTCCTGCTTCTAGACGCTGCCGCTGATCTGAGCTTTCAGAGAGTAGAATCCAAAGGAAATAAATTGTGCGTCTACCTACGTAGTAGTCCAGTAATATGTCAGTCTCCAGTGTTCATGATTACCGTGAAGTTGCCGGCTATTTTGCAGCAGCACAAGATGTGCCGGCGTACGTTTAAAATTTGTGGCTCCATGTCCGTGTGATAACCGAGAGAGAAGGAAGTACTGCACTCTGAACATTTGATGCGTGCGAGTGCGCGTACTTGCGTATGCAAAAGATTGTTTTGTGCTTGCAGACTTGCACGTGAGCAGCAAGCATTCTCTTGAAATTGCTGCTTTCTGCTCGTTCTGAAAGTGAGCGTGGCACGGGAACGCGCAGCATTTTTATTCGATTTCCGGTGCGGGAAGAGAATGCGTTGAGAAAAGAGCTTTTTTAGCTGTTACAACAAATGAGTTTCAAGTCGTGAATAAGCTGTTTGATGAGCGTATTTTCAGAATTATCTTGTCGAAGCAAAATTGCAGCGTTGAGTGATAAGATTTCTCTTCTGGAACGAAAAGTGGAGTTCTTGGAGGCTAGAGTAAGTTGCTTACGAAAGGGTTTTCTGGTTGCATCCACACTGCACGATTCTGGTCATGGCCTGAACAGCCCTTACTTGTCCTGTGCATTTATAAACCAGCAACTGAAAAATTAAGGGTTTTCGTATAATTAACTTGTTGCTGGCGACCCAGGTTACCGTACATGCAGAAACGTGCTGGAAGAGGACGGCAGATGCCTCGGCTGTTGCGGGATGAGTGCGTCAGGAGTTGCGAATAACTTGATGCTTTTAGCTGGTAAAGTAGTTTGTAGATTTCCGTAAATTTTGCCTGTCAGCTATCACGCAAAATGTGGCAGAGCGTGAGACGTCTGAGCTGTAGGAAAACTCTACTGGAATTGGTGTCGAGGTCTTCTCGATCCTGTTTTTGACATGTTGGTTCATTGCGGCTTGAGTTTCAAGAGCTGCGTTTGAAGTTTGGGGATTCCTTCCTTGCGCTTAATTCTAGGAAATTTGTGCATGTAAACTTCGGGCTTTCGGGGACCGTTCATTCTTTCCGGCAGGGCGGTTTTTGCCGACTTTGATGCTCGCAATATTTTTTCAGTTGTCAAAGGGTGAAACACTGAACTGACGGAATTCGCGATGGCGACTGGTGGCATTGTGAAAAGTGCGGCGGCCGCAGCCGTGCACGAAGTGGCCCCAATAATGTCCCTCAGTAAAGCACAGAGCCGAGCGAACGTTCGGGCCCTTTACAAAGAAGTGTAAGTTTGCCTCTTCAAATTGCCTGTCTTATGTCAAATAGAGCTTCAATTTTGCGACCATCATTAGTCGTTTGCAACTTTTCACATTTGTTGGTTATATGTTTGTGACGATAGGCATAAAGTTCGCCGGAGTTTATCTCCTTGCCATTTGCGAGAATGAGTGGAGCATGGTAAAAACTGCTCGTCTCCTGCTTGATTTGCCTCACAGAATTACGTCGGATTTGTGATTTTTGACTGTTTTTTAGTAGAGTTTCTCTTAATTTGATCAAAAGGTTTTTTCATCGTCGATGAAGCTGACAAACTCCATTCTTCTGCGTTTTGTGCTTGTTGCATTTACTGAACCTTTGTAGGCATTCTGATGTTATTGTCTCACCACGTTGAGGGTTTTCTGTAAGGTACGAACACCTATAGCAGTCCGGGATGCTTCTTTTAGTAAAGCTACCTACTTTTCTCCTTGTCCCAGACGGATTACCAACCAAGCTGTTCTTGGCGTGCCGTCTTGACAACATCGCTGATGGCACATCGAAACCACAGTTATTTACTTAAGATGTGCTGCGACTTGTTGGCACCTATTGTACGTCGTTCTGCTTTCGCTTATGATATTGCTAGTTTCTGAGCGCAAAATGTGTTAGTGAATTTAAAGCGGCAATCTTGGAATATCATTTTGTTCCTAAACGTGCCGAGCACGATGCACCGTATCTTCTGGTAAAGCGCAGTCCTCAGTGCCCTGTGTAACAAACTGTTAAGATCTTGCAGAGGTGCGCGCAAAATGTTCAGGAAGGTGGCAGCCCGCAGAATGAAATTTTAGAAAAGTTTCAAACGTTTTTCCGTCGCTCATTCAACTTTCCTTGCTTTTTTTCGCACAAAGTGCTTTGCATCCACAAAAAATATCTGTCTGAATGTGGCGGTGTCCCTCTTATCGTTTGCAATATGGCAGTGTTGAAATTGCGCTGCAGTTTTTTAATCGTTTAAAAGTTGCTTTTTGGATTTGAGAATGCACACAGAGATGTTTTTAACTTACATTTCCAGTGACTTGCAGCTGTTTTCAGATTGGCGGGATTTTGTGAATAATCTCATACCTGCTACGGATCGTAAAATGTGATGCCGTGGACTGTGAACTTCGTTTTAAGGGGTTGTGAATCAGGCTGTGCAGAGCTTGCGCAGCCCTGTGTTAATTGTGAGTTGGGTTCCCCTCACCATCGCACCAGGATTGCAGAAGTTAAAGATTTGCTTATGGAAATAAGATAATCGTAATTATTTGGACATGAAAAGAAGAATAAACAGCAACGCGCACCAGACTAGCCGGTGCGATCATGCGTTTTGTGCAAATTCAGTTCATCGAACGATTGCCTATTAATGATTTTCACTGCTTTGTACTTTAGTCTATGCAAAAATAGTTCAGACACTGGAAAACAGTTAAAAATTTCACGCACCAGCGCATGAAAGCTGAATTCGAAACTTTGAAGAATGAATATCTTTCCGTGATTCCCGAGTTAATAGTTCACCCGCCAAAATCTTCACGAGGCCGCAGGTGGTACCCGAGAGCGCGAGAACGCTGAATTTGAATGGGCAAGGTTGAGCGGGGACAGGGGGTCATTCCCCTAAAATTTCAGCCTCCTAGACTCCGTGGTTCCCGAGATATTAACTTACCCGTGAAAAACTTTCACGAGGCCGTACATGTTATCCGAGAGTGCGAGAACGCTGAACTTGAATGGGCAAAGTTGAGCGGGGGCAGGGGGTCATTCCCCTAAAATTTCAGCCTCCTAGACTCCGTGGTTCCTGAGATATTAATTTACCCGTGAAAAATTCTCACGGGCCGTACTTTTTACCCGCGGGTAAGGGAAGGCTGAATTTGAATGGGTAGGGTTGAGCGTGGGCAGTGGGTCATTACCCTAAAATTTCAGCTTCCTAGACTCCTTGGTTCCCGAGATATTAACTTACCCGCGAATAACTTTCACGGGGCCATACGCGTTACCCGCGGGCACGGGGAAGCTGAATTTAAATTTGCGGGGTCACACGTGGTTGGGGAACGTTCTCCTAGATTTTCAGCTTCCTAGCTTTTGTGGTTCCCGAGTTGAAAATTGCGGACAAGTTGCTGCGGACACAC